TAGTCATATTTCAATGACTTAATGGCCTTAATGGCCACACGTGTTTAGTGGCTACCATATTGGACAGCACAGATTACAGACCACTTCCATCACCACCGACCAAAAGTTCTAGTGGACCCCTCTAATTTATAAAATTTGAGTTGACAGAAGAATAGCATTCAAATGGGTGTCATTTTAATATCCCTGATGCTGGATTCCTGTAAAGCTTAAACATCTTTTAGAAGAAAGGCAAAAACAACCACATTGTCAATCTGAGTGGGAGTTGCAAACTGAATATAACAAATTAAACAATTAATATTATTTGTTTCCAAGGGCCTGGGATGCATGAAAATTCCCCACCTGGGATATAAAGTCCCAACCTGGCAACCATAAGTAGAATTTGGAGAGTCCCAGTGAAGCTGCCAGCAAGAATTTGGCCATCATTATGGCTGAAACCTCTGATAGGCTGGCAAGGCCAAATATTACATGCAATACAAAAGTTTTCTTAGTGAGTGACTAATAATAATACCTAGAGCTCCAAATCTCACCCAAGAGGCAAACCTCTCTTGCCAAAAGTAAGCACAGTTACCTAGAATGGTAACAGCCTTCTTTAATGAGTAAGCATATTTCAACCACAGAAAGATTCAGAATGAAATATAAAAATACTGAAAAGAATCAAAGCCAGATGTTAATTTTTGTTTTAAAAGGCTAAATAAAAATTGATCTTTTATATACTTAGAAAATTTAAGAGAATATGGCCTGTAAGAATGACTGACTTGTAACAAATTTAAAATGTGTAACTGGATAATAACTTGAGAAATGATATTAAGCTGAAATCCTGTAAGTTCAGAAACAACATTTCAACACTGCAAAGATAGTCATTGTGCTCACAAACTCAATGGATGTCAACAGATATTTTTTCCTCTTTTTTTGTAACATTACAATAGCTTTTTAAATAACTAATAAAATCCAAAACCAAGCATAAAAATGTCACATACTTAACTGACATTTACTATCACTTTTTAAGAATCTAAAACTGCATTCTGAAGCAAGATCAAAAAGGAACTGTTTATGGAATAATATGCCCTTAAGGAAAAACAGAGAGTCCAAAAGTAAACCATCACCCTCAAAACTCTCCTCAGCAACTTCTAATAATGAGAATATGTGCTCCTGGACAGAAATAATTAGAATCAATTCATAGGAAACCTTAATAGAAGTGCAACAGGTTTTAGCCAGTCAGCCCTCAAAGTGTCCACATTCTTTAGGACTCTGTAATCCCTTTTCTGTTTCACCATCTCCACCCGCCAACCCCCCTCGGCATTCAATCATATAATTTTAAATATCATTTAATGCACTAACCTCCAAACCCAAATCCATCCTTTCCTCTCTATTCTCACTGCTATCATCTTGGTTTAATCCTTCATTATTTTTCACTCGTTCTGCTACAATAGCCACCCTAACTGATCTCCCCAGGTCATCTTCATCCTTCTCCAATCAATTCTTAACACTCAGCTGGAGTGATTTCTCTCAAACCCAAACCCATCTGATCATGTTCCCTTCCAGGCCAATTCTTTCAAGGGTTCTTCAACACCTACTCCCTTTAGCTACTTCATTCTTCCTCATTACATTTAACATTATCTGACATATAGTACTATACAACTTGTTTGGTCACTATCTCCACTCCAACTAGAATATAAGTCCATAAGGGTAGATTTTGTTCACTGCTACATATTGCATAGTAAGCACCCAAACATGCATAAATGAGTGAACAAATAAGTGAATGAATGAATGATGATCTACAAGCCAGAGGCCTCCATGACCTGCAAGGGCTGTCCTCTTTTCACCCTGCTCCCACCTCTGCCTATGTTAAATTGTTTAGTTACTTAAATACAATATGTGCTTTCATGCCCCCTTGCTTTGCCATATGCTATTTATTTCCTTTGCCTCACCATTCAATCAATCTGCCACACTATCACCCATATTTTAAAATTGTCTCCAGAAAGCTTACCCTGACTCCCTAGACAAAGTATATCACTTTCTTTGCTTTGTGCTGCACCTGTACCTGTATTTACAGTGGTTTGGCTCAAACTGTACCAGAATGTATATCTCGTTTGCTAGATTCTGAATTCTATGAGGTCAAGGTCTATTATTCACCTCTTTGTCTCCAGTGCCTAGAACAATACTTGTCATAAAGCAACTACTCTATAAATGTTGAGCAAATTAATATATGTGTGACTAAAGTGTTAAGAGGAATGAAAATAAGGAGTTTCAAGAAGTCACTCTTCCAATTCCACAATGATAACCAGCCATGAGATAAAAGAACTGTGACCAAAGACATCATCCAAGGTAATGAAAGAGGAGTTATACAAACAATACACATCACCAAACAATTCCAAAACAACTGACATACAGTCCCATTCACACTTTATTAGATATACATGCTGACTCCTTCTTGCTCCATCACTTGCCTTCCTTAAAAGGAAGACAGTGGGAAGGGTTCACGGGAACAAACTTAAAGGACACATGGTCATAAACTAAGGGGAGGGTGGTAATGGTAGGGAAGTGGGGAGGGGTGGGAGTGGGGGCTGGATTGGGAGTAAAAAGGAGAAAACTATATTTGAACAATGATTAAAATAAAATTTTAAAAAAGCGCAAGTTAAAAAAAAAAAAGCAAGACCTGTGTCCTGTGTTCCACATGAACAATGTATTACTTAGATCACTCTCTGAGGAAGTTACTGTGCTCCCTCATATTTTAATTCAAACTTCAAAACAGTTTCATAGAACCATATTTTAAAACTAACTACACCTAGCCCTGAACCAGAGAGCAAACAGAGCTTTCTACTCTTTGCAATCTATACCATCAATGGGTTACACCTGTACCTTCAAACAATGGAACAGTCTCACAGGGGACCCCAGACCAATCACCTGCACCCATGGAAGCCTCACCCATTATCCCAAAGTGACTTATAAGACTTACTATTTTTCTCCAAATACTGTAGACCACAATCTAACCATAAGGAATACACCTGATCTACCTACTTAGTTCTAAGAGTGCAAACCTGCATGTAAATGTACAATCACACACAGTTGCATACAAATGAATAGACATTAACGTACATGAAGTCACTTAGAAAACTTAAGTTTTAAACCTTATGATGGCTAATATAATATCAAGTGAAGCCAGAGGGCACGATATGGTCCCTGATTCCTCCATCCTCCACCATTCAGTAACCAAGTTACGGAAACTTTGCCTCTTCTTATTTTTTTCAAATAGGCTGCCTATTCCCAATCGTAGCATTTCTCATTGGGATAAGTCTTCTAATTGGTCTCCCTGTCTTTGGCCTCAATGAAAAAAATGCCTCTACCATTTGTTGAGGGATTATGTAACCAGCATTGCACTAAGCACTTAATCACTTTATATTTTTCAATTCTCATAGCAACAATGCCATGCAGGAATTACAGTCCTCATTTTCACAGATGGGGGAACAGAAAGAAGCTCTGAGAGGTTAAGTGAGTTGTCTAAGTCATGCAGCTGGAATTGTGTAGTAAAAATTCAAACTCAGGTCTATTTTCCCATATTAACCTTCTTCAATTCAATCCCCAATGTGGCCTTTCCAAAAGGTAAATGTAATGTTTTACCTCACATAAAATCCTGTGAACAAGACCGGTCTCTCTAGCCTCATCACCTGTCATTCTCACTCCTTTCTGTCACACTTTACTCCCAACAGTTCCCTAACTTGTCTCACTGCTTTATCCATGAACACACTTTTTCTGCCAAGAACACTTTTCTCCTTTGGCAGGCTGCTTCCAACACAAACTTCAAGATTTACTTAGACAATCCATATTCTGAAAAAGCCTTTGCCCTAACAGATACACACCCAAAACTGTGTTAAATGACCATTTGGTGTGGTTACCAGCTAGTTTCTTATCACACTGTATTAGAACTGTATTTTACTAAGGCTATCAGTTCCTTAAGAGCAAACACCGCATTTTTAAATCTCTGTATTCCTAGTAAAATGAGTATGTAGGAGAGGAAGGACTCAATGAATGCTGAATTGATGAATTCACGAGAAGCAGTACAGCTTAAAAACTTGACCCAAAAATTAATGTTATGTGCTTTTGCATTCTAACCCACCACACAGAATACCTGCCAAGCCTGCAGCAGCCTTGTAAAATCTTTTTAATTTCCTCATCCGTAAAATGGGAGAGAACTGCACCTACCCCATTGTTTGGAGAGAGGAGTAAAAGAAATAATAGATTTAGCACAATCTCCAGTACACTGGCATTAAACGTTAGCAACATTTTTTTTCACTCTCAAAGTTCAGTCACATTGACAAAGACACATCTCAGAAAACAGCTTCTCCTAGCAGCTTCCATTAGAACTTAAGATTTCTCCAAAAAGTTGGAAGTCAAGATCTTTCACCTTATGTTTACACAAGAGCTCGGTAACTATCACCACACCCTATAATCACTAACTAGTATCTGAAATTTATTGCTTCTTTCCCACCTCTCGGTTTCTTCCATCCAAGTCGAAGGCCCTGCCCCTAAGCAAGAAGAAACATACCCCACAGAAACCCGTCAGTGCCTTCTTCCACTTCTCCTTTGCGGGAGTTACGAGAGAGATCCATCATCTAGTACAAGCTTAAATCTCCTCAAAGGATCAAAAGAGAACCCTTTCTATCCATTCCTAGATCTTGGCCCCCAATGTATTAATTCAAGAGAGATAATGAATTCCTAGCATTAAAAAGCCAAGGAAAAGGGTCCCCTTGAAGGCTTCCCCAATAAGAGTACTTCAGGTCTGTTACTCTCAAATAGTGACCCAAATCCAGCATTCCATCCTGCCCCCTTCTTGACAGAGTCCGGGTCTCGTCCACTCTCTCGTGAAAGAAATTGACCAGTACCTTCAGGGACCGGAATGCCTTCCACCCACCCGTCACCTCCCGTACCACGTCGTGTGTTCCCTCCCGCAGGGCGCGGCCTGGCACCTCGCTGGCGGCTCACTCCTCCCTGCCGCTACTCACCGCTTCTTGGGGATGGTGCCCGACTCCTGCGCGGCGGGAGTGGCCGTGGGCGCCGCCGTGGCTGGAGACGCGGCTCTCCGCGCTTTGCACTCATTGGTACTCAGACCCTCCTGGGGCCGGCCCAGCAGATGGCCCGACAGAACACGCAGCCTCCGCCCCGCACGGTCCCGGTCCGGGTCCCGATCAAGGTCCCCTGTGGAGCCTGAGCCTGAGCCTGAGCTCGCGCCCGTCTCGCCGGCTGCAGCCGCCGCCTCCGCCATGGCTTCCGCCTTGTGCCGCCGTCTGGGACCGCTGGGCGCGGGTGAAAGGTCACTCAGAGCGGCGCTCGGCGCGACCATTCGCTGCGGCGTATCCCGGCAGCCACCGCGGCGACTGGGCGGCCGGCGCCAAGCGCCTGGAGCTGTACATCCTCCGCTCCCGCCCACCCTGCCAGCCCGCCTCTGCAGTCGTGCCTCTGACTGTGTGCACCTGCCAAGCAGGTGAGTTTGAACTGCCCCGGTCTGTCTCAGCTCCTCCTGGGCTGGGCCAGGATCCAAACCACAAATGCCCCTAACTTGACCAAGTATCACCCTAGGTCGTGTCCTCAGTGTGGCTTGGGCCTGCAGAGAAACCTTGCTGTAAGAGTCTTGGCGGTGCTGGACCTGGTAGAACCAGCTGCACCCTTTACCTGAATAAACTCATACTGCCTCACCTCTGCCCCCAATCCCTGCAAGTCACTAAAGTAACTCAGAACTGAAGTATTGGCTGAACCATCATAGCTATCATTTTTTCATTGCCTACTTCGTGCCTCTGGCTGTGCTTGAGGCCAGATCTCAAGTACATAATCTGCATTTTATCTACTTGATGAAAAAGAAAAACTGAATCACAGAGACACTAACTTGCTCAAGGTCAGTCATGTAGTCAAGAAATGCTAGAGCTGAGTTGCAATCTAGGTCTCTTTCCATTCTTGCTAGGCAGTATTTTAAGGTACCGATAAATTTACCCAACACTGTTACTAAGACTCCTTGCTTATCTACAAATTGACTTCATTTTTGGAGAATGGTACTTGGTGAAATTAGGAAGATCTCATAGGACAGTGCTCCATAGCCATTTTCAGCAATGGGTTGAATTGCAGAGCTAACCATCAGAAGTCAAGTTCCTTTTTGCATAATGCACAATGCAAAGATGTCTTAGATATAGTAAGGGAAAGTATTGCCATAAGGATTCCAAAACCAATGAAGTTTCCTCCTTTCTGAATAACCATCTTCTTTGTAACACTGGCTCTTGTGAAAAAATTGAGGAGTTATATGACTAATACAAAAGAACGCCTAAGTACTGGAAAAAAATCAGGCAATAGGAGGGCTTGATTTATATGCCAGATCTTCAGATCTTAAGAGATACTTAAGCATTAAATATCTGGTCTAGCTCTAGAATGGATGAGCTCAACCTCTGTTTAGCTGCTGCTTATAATATTGAACTCTTTTAGAGGAAGCCATTGGACTGAAGAAAAGGGACAGGAGGAGGAGTAAATTGCTGAGTGCTTTAAGGAACAAGCCTTCTCAAGTTCAAGAGTTCAGCAACTGTAGTCATCAAGGTTCTCACACCCTTTCCAGATGTTACTAGAACAGTGTTAAAACAACAACTAGCATCTTTGTTTGCAATCATATAAAATTAGATTTCTTGCCAAGATACTGTATAAACAATATAGAATCTTTTGTGACAGGCCTGTTCATTTTTGCTTGAGTCCCAGAGAGCTCAATCTAACACCACTGGCATACTTTAAATGTTAATGTAGTTAACTGATTTCGTCAGTCTTGTCCAAATTGAGGTATGGACAAGCTTCTGCTGATTCTCAGGATGCAAATTTATAAATTTTGCAGATATCAACAGAATAACAAAAATCCTTTTCTCCTGGGTGATGTAAACCAAAATTATGAACCAGTGGAAAAACTACTGATTTGTATTGCAAATATGTGTAGAGTGATGAAAAATATATAGGCAGTAAAAGCATTTGTTAAAGCCTATTAAGTACCTAATTCATTACTTCTTTGCTATGAGATGCAAAGCATTTAAGCCATTGATTCACTTATGTTATATAATCAGGCTAATTAGGAATTAAAATACGCAAGTGGGAAAAACCTGTGATGTTACTTGGTGGAATAAGTGAGACACAACTGACCTGGGTGAAGGGTTTCCTGCCTCTTCTTCTTGCAAGAGCAGAGCCAAAGCACAGTGCCCTGAAATTTATTTAATGCTGCTGAAGAGGAACAAATGTTTCATTTGAAGCATGGTCATTTAAGAGGCTTATGATTCCCACAGAAAGCAAAACCTCAGGGAATATAACATTCAGGAGGGCCTCAACAAACCTGTTCCTTCCGAGTCCTGGAAACACTTGTCCCTGATAACCTGGATCCCAATGAAGAGCTGACCACATGTACAGAAACCAGAGATGAACCACTGGCATGTGGAATTTTAAACAGACTAAATTTATCTGCATTTCTCTTCTGTTATGTAGCACAAAAAGTCTAAATAGGATAGATTAACTCCTAAAATATGCACTAATTTTTTTTACTGCACTGATTTTTATTACTCATCTTCAGAGCTGCTGAGTGATGCATGAATAAAGGAATTCTTGAATTTTCACACATATTTTATTACAAAATGCAACAGAGAAAAGTGAACCAAACCACAAATCATCACAGATCAAACACCCATGTAACTTCCGTTTAGGTCGAGAAATAAAACAGTGCCAGCTCCTCACTAGTTGCCTTGTGCCCTCTCAATCACTTAATCCTCACTACCTGGGAAAGGTAACCACTGTCCTGAGTTTTATGATATGCATTTTCTTGTTTTTCTTTATGGTTTTAACAATTAAGCATGCATGCCTTATTTGTATCTTTGCATTTATATAAATGGATTCTTAAAGTATGTTCTTTGGTGTCTGGTTTCTTTCACCTAGCATTATGTTTATGAGATTTATCCGTATTGTTACACGTAGCTATAATACATTGATTTTCCTTGCTGTATAGTATCCATTGAGTGTATATACCAGGGTTTGTTATTCTATGATTAATGGACATTTATTTCCATTTTCTGGATGAAGTTGCTATGAATATTCTTGCATATGTCTCTAGGTGACATATAGATTAAATTTTATTGAGTACCCACTGTAGGAGTGGAACTGCTGGGTCATAGAGTATGCATATGTTTAATAAATAAAGAAATGATAAACTGTTTTCCAAAAGGATTATACGAAACCTACTATCTCAGCAGCACATGAGAGTTTCCATTACTCTAAAATGTGTTATTGCCAGTCTAGTAGTTTTAGCTATTATACTTGTATACTATTATCTTAATATGGATTTAATTTGCATTTCCCTGAATACTGAGATCAAGTGCCTTTTTTGTATGTTTGTTGGTCGTTTGTATCATCATTATTTGTGAATGTGTAATGAAGATAAATCTCCTATATTACCTTCTAGAAGTCTTACTGTTTTTTCTTTCACATTTATACCTACAAGTTTGCCTGGAAGTGATTTTTGCTTATGGTTTAGATCAGATTTCTTTTTTTCCTCTCTATATGAATATCCAGTTGTCTCAGCACTACCTGTTGCAAACATCTTATTCTACATTGTCACTTTTGTCATGAATCGTGTCCATACAGCAGTAGGCTATTTCTGGGTTCTCTGTTCTTTTTTGTTGATCTGTTTACCTACCTTACGCCAGTAAAACCCTGTTTTAACTGTTGTATACATATTCTTTTAGATTTTCTATGTACAATTATATCATTTGTGAATAACAGTTCATTTCTTTCTTCACAATCCTTATACTTCTTTTTCTCCCTTTACAAACCTGTACAGTACTTTTTTCCTTGCCTTATCCAGCGAACTAGGACTTCCAGTACAGTGCTGAATAGGGGTTGCAATGATGGCACCCTTATTTTGCTACTGATTCCAAAGGGAAATTTATCAACATTTTAGCATTGTTTGAAGTGGGTTGCTTTTTTTAAAAAAAAATAACTCTTATAAAACATAAACACCTCTGTGTTCATCAGCATTATTTACAATCCCAAAGATATGGAAACAGACCAAGTACCCATCAGTAGATGAGTAGATAAAACAACTATGGGGCACTTACACAATGGCATACCACTTGGCCATAAAAAAAGAAGAAAATTTTACCCTTTGCCACAGCATGGATGGACCTGGAGAACATTATGCTACATGAATGAAATAAGCCAGTCAGAGAAAGACAAATATCATAGGATTTCACTCATATGTGGAATCTAATGAACAAACTGAACTAGCAAGCAAAATAGAGACAGACTCATAAATAGCAGGCTGACAGCTCTGGGGGGCGGGGATTAGGAGTTGAAGGGATTGAGCAAAAAGGAAAAAGGACTCATGGACATGGACGATTGTGTGGTGATTACAGCGAGGTTGGGGGGTATAAGGAGGATAAACGGTAATTCAAAATACAATAAAAATACAATAAGAATGTTTTTAAAATAAAACATATCAAATAATGTTATTTGATATAACATTAACCTTATAAATAAACCTTATATCAAATTAAGCAACTCCCCTTCAAATCCTAGTCTTCTGAGAGTTTTTATCATAAATGGATTTTGACGGGGGAGTAGTGGGGAGAAATGCAGACAACTGTAATTGACCAACAATAAAGTAGTTTATGGGAAACAGATTAAAAAATAAAATAAAAATAAATAAATGGATTTTGAGTTTTATCAGATGATTTTTCGTGCATCTTTTGAGATTGTGATATGTTTTTCTCCTTCATTTTGTTAGTATGGTAAATTACATATATTGGTTTTCCCTTGTTCAGCCAACCTAGCAATGCTGTCATAAACCCAACCTAGTGAGGATGTGTTGGCCTTTTTATATATTATGAATACAGTGTATTAAATGTTTAAGTGTCTGTGTCTACGTTTATAAGTAAGATTGCTCTATTACTTTCCTTTCCAAATAGGAACATGCCAGGTTCTTCAGGCCTCGTGAAAAATGCTAGTGAGAACGCCTTTGTTTTCTAGTCTCAGGAATATTTTATGTAAGATTGATTATTATTTCTTCTTTAAATGTTTGTTAGAAATCACCAAAGAAACAATCTGAAACTTGAGTTATTTTATGGAAAGGTTTTTATTTACAAGTTAGTTTAACATTATTCAGATTTTCTACTTGTTTCAGTTTTTGACCATGTTTTTCTAACAAATTGCTTCATTTACATTTTCAAATATATTGACAAAGTTTTTTACAGTATCTTATGTTATCATGTAATGTCTACAGGGTCTGTAGTGTGCCCTACTTTTCATTCCCAACATTGGTTATTTTACGTCCTTTCTCTCTCTCATTTTAAGCAGTTTGCCAGGCATTAATCAATTTTATAGCTTTTTTGGAGAACCACCTTTTGAGATAGTTGATCCTATTCTATGTATGCTTTCTCTTTTTATTAATTTCTGCTAATATTACTTGTCATTTCCTATGTGCTCCCTTTTTTCCCCTAATTTCTTTAAATGAATGCTTAGCTCAGTTGATTTTTCGGGCTTTTTGTGTGTGTTTGTTTTCTGATACATGTGTTTAGGGCTAAAAATTTCTCTCTAAGCAATTCATTTAATTTGCTCAACTTTTAATAGTAGTAATTTCATTATTATTCAGTTCCACGTAGCTTCCTTTCATGTTTGAAAAGGATAATAAGCGTTCTTTCTCATTTTGAGGTACAGTGTTGCCCAAATACAAGTTTGACCTAATGGCTGCTTTGTTCCAGTTTTTTACATCCTAACTGGTATTTCACTACTTATTTTATCAGGCATGAAGTATGTTAAAATCTCCCACTATTATTATGGATTTATTTGTTTTTCCTGTACTGCTAATTTTTTCTTTCGGTACTTTAAAGCTATCTATTAGATATTGCAAAATTATTACTATATTGTGCTGTGTATAATGCACTCCTGTGTATAATGTGTGCCCACAGTGTTGGCCCAAACTTTCAGGAAAATAGTGTTTCATTTTAATTTTTTAATTCAATTATTTATTTATATTTAGAAACAAACCGATTATCATATTCCAGTGTATTATATTGCATACGTATATCGTTATTGCTTTCTAGAGTTACACTTCTAACACAGCATAAATAGAAGAATTAAAAACATTTATGCAGATACAGAATTAGTACTACCCATGTATAATGTGCATCCTTATTTTTCCCTCAAAAATTAGGGCAAAATTGCGCATTATACACAGCAAAATACAGTATATTTTATATATGTTATATATATTATATAGTTACTAAATATCCCTCTTATCTAATAATGATAATTTTTGTTTTAAAGTTTAGCTATACCAGCTGTGTGTGTGTATATGTCTGTCCATCTGTCCCAATGGTCCTCTCCTATAACTTTCACTCTTTCTGTGTCCATATATTTTAAGCGTGTTTCTTGTAAACAGCTGTTAGGTGTTTTCTTTTAAGCAGTCTGAGCATAAAATCCTAAATCCATTTAGCCCATCAAATTTAATTGACTTACTGATATATCTGGCTAAGAGCACTAGTTTCATTGCCAGACAGAGTTTGAATATTGGCTCTACCAATGACTAGGTATATTGCCTTGAGCTTATCACATTAATATCTCGGCGCTTGGCTCTTTGTCTGTAAAATTGGCAAAGTAATGACTACTTGCCAGGTGCATTAAAGGTTAATGAACAAGAATATAGTAAATTCTAAGTGCTACTATGAAAGTAGGAATGAGTCTGATGGAAGGAAGATAGGCTTCCTAGAAAAACTAATTCATATTAGTAGGAAAAGAAATAAGGTTAAGTGGGTAATAGGTGACCAAATCATGGGAACATTGAAAACTTAGTAGAGAAGTAAAAACTTATCTGGCAGAAGCTATTGTGAGTTCTTGAGCAGAGGATTAGCATGACAAACCTGGAAAGACTGTAACAGAACCCCTGGGTTCTATTGCTGTGGGTTCTGCTGCCTGCCACCAATAAGAACTGTGACTCCCAATGCCAGAGCCTTAGGAAAAGGAAAGGAAATATTTATTCCAAAGTTATATAGGTTAAGAACAATGGTGGAATTCTGCTGTTAAATCTCACTCCCTTTAGAAACAAACAAACAAACAAAAACACACAGTCTTGCCCACTGCCCCCCTAACAAACCAGGCCAGCCAGAGACACCATCTCTCAGGAAAAGAAATAGAGGTCTGTAGCTTAGCTGGGCAGATTCCCGTCTGTATCCTGGCTCCCACCAGTCGTCCATGCTTGGCTAGCTAGGCTCCTGCTTTTAATCCCAAACTGCATCCTCGTGGTGGGCCGAGGAATCCTTCTGCATCCTTCCAAACCATGTGTCCAAGACCCCTCACTGCTGCTATGTGGTCAAGAGGCTTCTCCTTCCCCAGCCACATGGTCAAGAGGGCAATGGCTGTTCTGGGCCTGGATATAAATCCCAGCTCAGATCTTCCTCTGTAACCCCATTTCCAATTCCCCCCATACTGGGTTACACCACAGTAAGGAGTCTAGTTTCTCAGCTGCCATTGTTAGTCCAGGCAAGCAGCCTGTGACCTAAGGCTAACCACCTTCCTGATCTCATGCAGGTGCAGCAAGCCGCTTCATGACTACATTGCATCACAGGTTAGAGTCACACCCATCTCCCTGGCTCCAAGCAGGCACAACCTTGAACATTACTAAAACACTGTCCAGTGGCCCTACTCCACTTCCCTCATTCCCCAAGCAATTGCTATTGGGGTTTTCTCCATTTGGGGGGACCTCTAGCTCAGCACCCCATGACAAGACTACTACTTTGGAATTCATTCTCAAGTGGAAGTCAGCTTACTGGGTACGTCTTAGAACCTGTAGGCAGTTTTAAAAAGAAGCTGTACCAGCAAATGATGAAGAACTAAAGAACTCATACAAAAGAAGCTAATATTTTTGAATGATGGGAAAACATTTAATTATGGTTAGCTGCTCAACTAAAGGGCAATGAGTTACCTCAAGAAGATGTAAATGTAAAAGTGGCTAGAAGTAGTTCCATGTTATGTTGTGATACTGTCCTATTTCAGGATGTCACAAGGAAAAACTGACTTAATTAGTCAAGTCACTGGGCTAAAGTGAAAAGTACTTTATGTTCTCTTACAGGTCTGCTACAAACGTATTAAGCAATATAAAGTTCTTTGTTTCTTTATTATTTCATGTTTTAGGTAGGAAAAATTTCTGACAGCCTACCCATCAGACTTACTACAAAATGATAAATATGTAAGTATTTTAAAATCAAAGTCAAAAGTCACTTTAAAATAATTATCTTTTAAGCCAGGCGGTGAAAGACAAATACCATATGATCTCACCTTTAACAGGAGCCTAATCAACAAAACAAATGGACAAGCAAAATATAACCAAAGACACTGAAATAGAGAGCAGGCTTACAGTGACCAGAGGGGAGAGGGGAGGAAATTTCAAGGGAATTTCAGGGAAAAGGGGGAGGGTTTGCAGGAACAAGTATAAAGGACACATGGACAAAAACTAGGGGCAGGTGGAAGTGGGAGGGAGGTGGGGAGAGCTGGGGGAGTGGGCTGGGATGGGAGTAAAAGGCAAAAAACTGTACTTGAACAACCAAGTAAAAATTTTTTAAAAAATTATTATTTTCTTTGGAGCATATAAAACCAAGATTTCTATTTATCACTTAATACTCTAAAATAATAAGCTTTCAAGTAGCCTTTTTAAGTTTTAAGTTTTTAAGTAAATTTTTTGGTCTCTAGGATTTCTTTATAACTTTAAAAAAATTGAGACCCCTGAAGAGCTTTTTTGATTGTCTACTTACCTACCTCTCTATCTATACTATATTAGAAATGAAAATTGAAAAGTATTTAAGACATTTCTTTATTAATCTATTTTAAAATAATAATGCTAAATGAATCAATACATATTAACATAAATGACATATTTTTATTCAAAATGACTTTTTCCATTTAAGAAAGAGAAAAATGGAATTTTACAGTTTTGCAAATCTGTTTAATGTCTCTCTGGCTTAACGGAAGACATCTGGATTCTCAAATCTGTTTCTGAATTCAATCTGTTGAAATATCACATGCCATGGAACTACTGGAGACCTCTACTTTAAACACTCATGAGAGAATGAGAGTGAAAAACAACTTCTTAGTCTTATTAAGAAAATACTTTTGACCTTTCCATCTCTAAAAGGGTTTAAAGGATCCCACAAGTGTTTCCAGACATTTTGAGAACTGCTCCAATGTATTTGCATAGATGTCTGCTAAAACAATTGCTAGGGAAGCTCTAGAAAACTGGATGCTAAAAGTAGTTACTGCTATTGCCACAAAGGAGTAGTATGCAATGCCACTAAACAACATTGTCAAAAAATTTAAGGCATGTTCTATTTTAATGCATTCTTTCTGAAATACATATATTTAATTTCATACAATCACATTTTGAAAGTGATTTCTAAGTTCTCCTGACTTCTAGTGCAGATGACAACATAGGTAAACACAGATCACCTCCTCACACAACCACATCAAAATTACAACTAAACTATAGAACCACCACCTCTCAGAAACATCAGAAATTGAGTTGAGCCCCAGCTGTCATGGCTCAGTGGACTGAGCACCAGACTGTGAAGCAAAGGGTCATCGGTTCAATTCCTGCTCAGGGCGCATCCTGGGTTGTGGGCCAGGTCCCCAGTAGGGGGCATGTGAGAGGGAACCACACTTTGATATTTCTCTCCCTCTCTTTCTCTCTCCCTTCCCCTCTCTTTAAAAATAAATGAATAAAATATTTAAAAAATAAAAAGAAATTTAGTTGAATGGAAGTCTAACAACTACAGAATTAAAGAAACCACATCTATCCAGAATTGTAGGAGGGACAGAGACATGAAACAGACTGGTCCCACATCCATGTGTCTTGTTGTAAATAAAAATTCATGACAAATATCTCAGGAATGAAGAGTCCCAGCCCCACACAAAGCTGCTCAGCCCAGGGTTCCAGTGCCAGGAGATAAGTCCCCATAATATCTGGATGCAAAAACCAGCAGGGATTGAGTCAATGGAAGAAACTTCTGGAGAACCAAGCCGTTCCTCCTAAAGAACCCACACATGGACTTACACTTACTCCCTGTGAGATTCAGCACTGGGGTAGCAGCTTGAAAGGCACCAGTGACATACAGAGAGGAACTGAAGTGTCTGGCATCAAGGTGGGAGCTGGGAAACAACTTTCCCAGCCACAAAGGCAGGCAGAGGCCATTGTCCCTTTTCTGAACCCTTCTCCCACAGAGCCACAGAATCAGAAGGGGGAGCCATATCTGAGACTCCATCAACCTAACACTGTTTGCCCCACCTTGGAGATCCCCTGAGGCTCCATCCCACCCAACTTATAACTGTTAACAGTGGCTTTTCCATATGAATGTCTGGTCTTGGCTCATGCTTTACAACTTCTTAAATCCTTTGAAAATCAACAGCTGGCTTCAGTGAGCCCCCAATCCCCATACCTCTTGCTAAGTAGTCCCAGGCATATCGCTAGCAGCAGTCAGCCTAGGTTCACAATTTAGCTTTGCCTGGAAATCTCCAAGCCCAGTACAAGTGACTCCCATCTCAGATTGCTTTATAGCTCAGGCAGAGTGGCCCCAGGCAAAACACAGGTGAGACTGACCATGGCCTGTACCACCAGGAAACCCCAGGGCCAACACACCCAGAGGACAGTAATAGACCACATCAGAGCACCACTACCCTGTAGCTCAAATCCTCTATGGAGGGCAGAGGTGGGGCTTTGTAGTCAAAGCCAGTCTTTGTAACTGATAGGCCTGGGTGAATCCCTCCCATTGACCTGCCAACAGCAATCAAGGCTCAACTACAAGAGGAGGGTGTACTCAGTTCACACGGTGCATACACCTCGAGTACCCAGCTTGAGTGATAGGGGAGGCTGGACCCTACAGGATACCTACTTCATTAGGCCATGTTATCAAGACAGGGAGTCATAGCAGTTCTACCTAATACATGCAAAGAAACACAGGGAGGCTGCCAAAATGAGGAGACAATGAGACATGGCCTAAATAAAAGAACAGATCAAAATTCCAGAAAAAGAACAAAAGAACTAAACAAAATGGAAATAAGCCATCTATAAGATGCAGAATTCAAAACACTGGTTATAAGGATTCTCAAGGAATTTAGTGAGGGCCTCAGCAGCATAAAAAAGATCCAGTCAGAAACAAATAATATACTAATTAAATAAAGAACAATTTATAGGGAAACAACTGTAGAGTGGATGAAGCTGAGAATCAAATCAATGATTTGGTATATAAGAAATAAAAAAAAACAACCAATCAGAAGAACCACAAGAAAAAAGAATCCAAAAAATGAGGGTAGTGTAAGCAGCCTCTGGGACAACAAGTGTTCCAACATTCACATTATAGGGGTAAAAAAAGGAGAAGAGAAAGTGCAAGAAATTGGAAATCTATTTGAAAAAAAATAATGAAAAAAATTCTCTAATTTGGTGAAGAAAGTAGACATGCAAGTCCAGGAAGCACAGAGAGTCCCAAACAAGATGAATGCAAAGAAGTGCACCCCAAGACACATCATAATTAAAATGTCAAAGATTAAAAGTAGAGAATCTTAAAAGCAGCAAGAGAAAAGCAGGTAGTTACCCACAGGGGAATTCCCATAAGACTGTCAGCTGATTTCTCAACAGAAACTTTGCAGGCTAGAAGGGATTGGCAAGAAATAATCAAAGTCATGAAAAGCAATGACCTACAGCCAAGACTGCTTTACCCAGCAAAGCTATCATTTAACATCGAAGGGCAGATAAAGAGCTTCCCAGACAAGCAAAAACTGAAGGAGTTTGTCATCAAACTATTATTATATGAAATGTTAAAGGGACTTATTTAAGAAAAAGAAAAAGATCAAAACTATGGACAATAAAATAGCAATAAATACATATCTATCAACAATTGAATCTTAAAAACAAACTAAGCAAACAAGAAGAACAGAGACAGAATCATGGATATGGAGAGCATTTTGATGGTTGCCAGATGGGAGTGGGCATGGGAGAAGTAAAAAAAAAGTAGTTACAGAAAACCATGGGAATGTAAAGTACAGTATAGCAAATTGAATAGCCGAAGAGCTTATATGCATGACTTATGGACATGAACAATGGTGTGGGGATTGCCTGAGGGAGTGGGGGCTCTGTGTGGAGGAGGGAAAAATGGGAAAAATTTGGACAACTGTAATAGCATAGTCAATAAAATATAATTTTAAAAGAGAATGTGATTCCTAAATGTTAAAATCAAATCTCCAAATCCAATTCATATATGAACAGAAATATAATTCTTACAAATGAAGTAGATAAATTTAGTGTCACTTTTGTGATATAACATGATTAAGTTACTTTGTTATATCAAACTTACTCCCATATTTTATGCTTACAAAGTTATATTTCCCATTGCATTTAGGTCAGTGACAAGTAGTTAACAAGATGTCCTGGGACCAATTGAAAGCTACTTTGAATCAGATATTTAAGGTGACCTATTAACCACCCATGCAGTGTTTCCACTGTACCCCTAAATTTGCTACTTAAATGAGCAATATGTATTTTTGATATCTACTTTTTATTATTCTGACTTATTAAATGACTATATTTTCAAGCAAAGATAGATGGTAGCTTCCTCATGCTCTTTCTTTTTCTTTGCTTCTTAACACTCCCCTTTGTTTTGTTTCTTTTAGGCATATCTTTTTTATTTTCTGTGTTTCAACTTGAGTCAATATAGTGCAGGGCTAGAGAGGTGAGCACTGGAAGTATATGTAGTCAGTAAAATGAACAATAAAATCAGTCCATGAGCCAAAATGCAAAGTTGTGGGAAGACAAGGCTAATGCCAGGAGATCCCTCAGGAAACATAACCCCAAAGAAAGCCCTGTGTAGAATCACTGACAGCCAGGCTGCAAGGCAGAAATATAGGGACAGTCTTAGGAGGCCAACTAATTCTGCTAATTTCTTGTCTTTTTGAAATATGTTCTTTAAGACATTGTGTGACACTCTAAATATTTAGTCCTCAAACTATATCCTTGATCCAGCTTGTTTTAAGTTTGTGTGCAAAATAATGGTGTATGTGAAAGTGTTAAAGAATTGTTCATTTCTGTTTTGAAAGCATTCAAATATCAGGGACTGTGAACACGTTTATTCCTTATTTCTTAATGAAATACCAAAGCCACTAGTATAAAAGTTACATCTGCTTATATGTGGTAGGGGGGTGGAGGGG